TTATTTATGATACTAAATTCTGCGCCTGTGTCTATTATGAAGCGTAATGTTCTAACCGGATTATCTATCGTTATATAGGGTAAAAGTTTGTGGCTTGTGTTTGAAAATTTGCGTCTGTATTTCCAATATTTACAATTTGTTCTGCAACATTACCTATGTCCATAGGTTGAGGATAACTTTGGGTATCCCGAGACTGTCTTGTTTGATGAGTTGATGTACGATTATGAGTTTGAGATCTTTGATAATTTCCATTTCTATTATTATTGTTTGTTACACGGATTCTAGCAGTATTATTGTCGTTCATAAACTGTCTATTGTTATTATTATTATGTCTTTGATTGTAAAATCTATCACTATTATTGTAATTGTTGTTGTCAGTATAGTTGTTCATATTATTTCTATTGTATCTTGGATTGTGGTAATTATTACTTCGATTATTTCGATTATTATCATATTGTTGGGTTGTGTTCTGGTTACTAAAACTATTGCTAAATCTAGGTTGAGCTCTATTGTCTGAGTATCTCCTGTTTACAGGTTCATATTTTGTATAATTATGGTGTCTTGCTTCAGTTATCAATTTAAACGCCTCTTCTAGATCGTTTGGATTTCGCAAAAATATCAAGGTTTTTGTAGATTCTGGCAAGTGATCTCTAAATGTAATTAAACCTATTCTGTTTACTTCTTCCCTTGTATACTGTTCTTCATTGTGCGTCAAAATTCTATTATTTATTCGGTTTATTATATTAGTGATTTTAAAATAATAATTTTCAATTGTCCCTTGCAAGCTCAATGTTTTTAATTCGTCCATCAATTCAATACAAGTTGACTTTTCCCCATAATGTTTTTTCAAGGCGTTTTTTAATTCCTCCCAATTTGCAGATTGTTCCCTATGAACAATTTCCCTAGTTCCTCCTACGCATTTATTTTTTATATACGAAAAAATGATCAGTTTAGTGGAAGGCTCTAGGCTATTTACTAAGGGCGCTAAATTATCTATTTGTTGGATAAAATCCGATAATTGTGCCTGGTTCAGTACCATCAAAATCCCTAACATTTTTAATTAATTGTAATAAAAAATTTAACTGATTTATTGTATTGCTGTCCATTATTGCAACCAGCGTCAGTCTCACTTGCAATGGCACAAATAACAAAGGAATTTACAATATAAAGTATTAATACTATTATTACTAAATACTAAACTAATGTTAATAACTTTAATGAATATAATTGATTATTATTAATATAATCTCAATTAAAATTAATATAATCACAATTTAAATTATAATAAATAATAATAAAAAATATATTTGATATCACCACTTCTAGTATTAACCACCTTTCTGGGGTTTATACATCCATGTGTTGCAGAAGTTGCAGCTGTTGTTGTATTTGTTGAAATTTAATTAGCATTAATCTACCAGCATCAACCTTTAATTAAGTTCACTTTACTTCCAATAAGTTAATATTTTAAATACGAGTATATATCTTCTGAACTGAATTTTCTTTCGTCTAATAGTACAACCATTATACTCATAGTTCTTTATGTGATTTTATCGACAAAGCCAAATACTTCATCACTTCAATTTTTTTATTCAGAATTTTTTTAATTGTGGCACTAATCGTCAATTAATTCAATGTACAATTTTAATTAATAATTTTGCCTATCAACCGAAATTTTCCTCGTCGCCAGTTTTGTATTTTAATTTATTTCCACAATTAAACACATTAATTTCTTATTGTTTATTATATTTATTTTTAAGAATGTTTATTTAATATTTATATATATTTATTATACATGGGTTCATACAACCTCCACTAATATATTTAACAATGCATACAGTTTTATATAAGAAAAAAATTAAAGGAAAAAAAGAAATTCGAAAAAAAGATTGACCCGTAGTGAAAGTCCAATTGATAATCCTACCTTTTATAAACCGATTTAAACCATGGCTCAAAGTTTCTTAAAGCTCACCTTACACGTGCTCTATACTTATTCAGCGGTCGCGAGAGCGTGAGAGCGAGAAGCTGCCAAATCTCTCCCGCATAATCGCTGTAGAAATCACATGTAAAGATCGCTTTAAAGTTCTTGGTTTAATGTACCCACTTAGAAATTAATGTCAATATGTGACTATATCACGCACTACTATGGTAACTTCAAAAATAAAGTAACGGGGCCATATGCAGAATGATGTTTTGAGAAAAGTCAAAATAACGGTTTTTTGCAAATAACTCCAAAAAGGGTACAGAAAATTTCCCTGTAGGAAATATAAATATAAATTAATAATATTAAAATAAGGAACTTGTTAAGGAACTTTTATACTGCTTTTCAACATATTCATAAAGATGTAAAGATAAACAGTCGACCTTCATTGGTAACCATCCGAGGCAATAAATTTACTCATTGAATTAACTCTCGTCTAAATCTTCATTTGAACTTAGAAATCTGTTGTGATTTTCGAGTTCTACGGAAAATTTCCCTGTAGGAAATATAAGTCTCGTCTTTGGAAAACAAAACTTTTAGTTATTTGTAAACTAGTGTAATTAATAGAAACCCTATAAAATAATAAATTCATAGAACAGTAAATAAAATAAATAAATAACAATGAATGAATTGTTAATAGATGGATAATTAGTAATTAATTATTAGTATATTATAAAACCTATATACCTAAATAAATTGTTAATAAATAATGCGGATATACTTATAGTTCACATCTACATTTCCTATAAATCATAAAAAATCCAAATATATCTTGATTATTATTATGCATATGATATAATACCTATATTACTACTTTATTCCTATCTTCAAAAAATATATTAGTGACATGCGGAATATCAAGTTATCCACATCTGTATAATTCTACTACATGGACAATCTATGATACTCTTATGATATTAGTATGTAACAATGCGGATACACTGTATGCTCACATCTATATTTCCTATAAGTCATGAACATACCACATGTATCTTGAACATTAGTGTGATAACGAACCTATCTATACCTCACTGTTATTAATATAATTAAACATACTATCCTAATATTCCAAACAAAATAATTTAATAATGTGATATTAGAATAATGAATAATAATAATAAAATATACTATTATAATAAAGTACAATTATATAAAACATTAATATAAAAAGTAGAAAATAAAAAATATTCAAAAATAAAAAATATTAAAAATAGAGAATAAAAATAATAAAAATTAACAAATAATATAATAAAAAATAATAAAAAAAATAAAAAAGAAAAATAAAAAATAAAATAAAAATACAAAATAAAAAATAAAAAATAATAATAACAAATATATTGACTAACCATCGGCATCCTACATATCCCAAAAAACCACCGTATACAGGACTCCACTGCACTGTAAGTCTTTAGAGAACAGCAAAATACCGACCATCAATCAACCCTAAAACCATAAAAAGACCAAATAACAGACTTCAACTGACACTCCCAGGTATTATATGGGATACCACCATTGAACCCAGGAAATAACCATCTACTCTGAAACCAGCCCATCCATAGTCACGGCATAAAATAAAATAAAATAAAAAAAAAATATAAATATAAAAATAAAAAATAAAATTAAAAAATAAAAAATAAAAAAGAAAGAATAGAAAATAAAAATAAAAATAAAACAAAGAATAAAAATAAAAATTATAGAAAATATATATAAAAATATAAAAAATATAAAAAATATAAAAAATATAAAATAAAAATAAAAATAAAAATAAAAATAAAAATAAAAATTATATATAAAATGATATATAAAAAATAATATATAAAAAACTAATATATAAAACTATCCTTCATATATTATAATTTCCTTGGCATTCTATTCTGGGTAGGTGGTTCCACACCTCTATAAACTAAATATAATGCCCATGCAATAAGGATTATATTAACAAGACATAAATTAAAAAAAAAATAAAATAATAAATTTGAAATAAAATAAAAATAAAATAATAAATTTGAAATAAAATAAAAATAAAATAATAAATTTGAAATAAAATAAAAATAAAATGAAATAAAAATAAAATAAAATAAATAAAAAAGATCACACACAATCGTACGCTTCGTATCGAATTGTGAGTAATCCATACGTATAGATATTAAAATTCATAAAATCTTACATATACATACATCTATATACAAGACTCAATAAACAATAATATAATAATTGCGCATCCATAGATATAAACTACAACACGAAATGGAATAAAAAAGTTTCTCCATATTTGCACTCTACGTCTTGAAACAAACGGGATCCACCGTTATCCTAGCGCCTTTAAAACCCTGCACATGGTGCCATCTCAGCGACTAATCAAGTGTTCTACCCTACCTAACCTTAAAGCTGATCAACAAATCAATATAGTTTTTCTTATACAGAACACAAACCATCAAACCATCTCTATTAACACATTATGAGCGGCTAGCTCAGGATATTGAACAGTGCTGCGTAGCGGGCCAATTTTCCAGCTAAACAAAATATATACGTGTGAAAATAAACTCGATAGACATAAAAGTAATAATTAGATTTTTGCTACATTTGACAATGGGTCTTATCTGGAACTATATTTTATATACATTAATTTATTTTTATACTTGATATGTATATTTCAGAAATTCGTGAGATTACGCAGGACGCACTTGTTTTATAAAAATACAATATTACTGTCAAATTTCTTATAAACAAAATTATACAAAAAAACAATACAATAAACATTTTAAAAATATGAAGCCATTAGAATTATAGGTCGTTTTTCCCAATTCAACGGGCGGAAAATAAAATAGTCCGATAATATATAGGTACATATGTAAAAAAAAGTATGCAACCAAATATACAGTTTATTTAAATCCTAAGATAGATTTATTTTACAGGATATATATATATATACAGGACAATATACTAGTTTATAAAATTTGGTGTAGTCAAGGCTAATATTTTTCTTGAGTATGATATTTGAAGAAACAATCTCCCCGATGCAGCGAAACTTTGCAAATTTTACACATATAACACGTTAAACTTTTTTTTTTGTGCGGCACATACGCGACACTGCCTTTGAGATTTCAATTTTGTTCCACCAGTGGTAATTTGAACCAATTTATGCCTTTTGGGATCTTTTGATAACCTCCCTGGAGGATCACTTTTGCTGGACGTAGTTGATGTACGTGGTAAAGGATTACCTGTATTGCCAGGAAGAGCTTCACTAATCCATTCCTTTGCCACATCATGTAGAAACACCTTATACTTTTTTTTTGAATGTGGATTTAATATTTTAAAAACTCTAAACGCATTAAATAACGCACAATTGATAAAAAACATAACAGCTCGTTTCGTCCATTTTTTGGTATGACGTACAATCGAGTAATACGATAAGTATTGGTCAGCGCGATCAACACCCTTCATGTATTTATTATAATCAATCACGCACATTGGCTTCAAAATTCTTTGTTTTGTTGCCCAGTCAATATTATTACTTTCCGCAATGTCAGCTGAATGTATAGTTGAAATCATTCTGACTGTTCTTTTTGATTGCCAACATTGTAATAAAATATTTTGGCGGCGATGAAATATAGATTCCTCCCTCGCTAGTTTAGGATTTTTCAAACAACTAGGAAGGCCTCTGTTTACCCGAATAGTGCCGAAAGTCCGAAAACTATTCTGTAAAAGTATTTCACAAGTGGCAACACTATTGTAATAATTGTCCATGTATATGTGATGCCATAAGTTGCAATAAGGTTTAAGCAGATTTAAAATTGTGTCTTGCAAACGACTTCCTACACCACAATACATACGAAAATTACAAATGTATCCCGTTTTAGCTTCACACACCATTCTTATAAGTAAACCATATTTTATAATTTTTGATGCATTATAAACTTTAAATGACAAACGTCCCCTCCATGAAATTGTTCAATAATTGGTACCTTATCAGTTGTTGACCAATCAAGCACTTCGTCATCACTGTCTTCGGAGTCGCTAGATGATGGTATTGGCAAAACTCGATTTCTTGTAGGGCGAAATAATTCCTCGTCACTTTCACTGTCTGAATCAGGAAATTCCGCGTCACTTGAAATCTGCGACAAGTCATCTGCATATACATCACTATCAGAATCCATTGTGTTTGAATAAAAAAATTTAAATAAATTTATACCGCTTTAAAAACTATTAGAAAGTATTAGAAAAATACGAGTTGTTCTGAGAATGCAAACTCTACGAACTCTTGTAGCTTTATGGATTTAAACTAAATGAGAAGTACACATACAACATCACATAAAACGAATTTGTGGAGACACGTAGCTGCGAGGAATATTATTGGTTAAAGTATACCTTCTGCTCAAAAAGTATTCGGATTTTGTAAGTACAACACACAAATTTAAATTTTATTCTAAATTTATTTTATCTTCCTCAAAATATTCTCCTTGTGAAGCGATACACATATGCCAACGCATATGTGCCAATCTTCGGCGAATTCTCTTTTACCGATTCAATCGACTCAAAACTCTTACCACGAAGGGGCAACTTCGGTAACAGGAAAAAGTCGCACGGATCCAGATCTGGCGAATATGGTGCCTGAGCGATGACAGTGGTGCAGTGTTTGGTCAAAAAATCGCGTACAAGAATTTTCCATAGTAAAAATCGCTAAATGCACTTGAGGTAGTCTCACATTAACAACTGCTGTAAACAAACTAATTGACAGATGGCGCTCAAATTTGTATCATATGTCAAGTAAAGGTCTACCAACATAACAAATAAAAATTTTTTGAAAAAGGTTAATTACTTAAGGAGTAATTAACAAACAACAAAATCCGGATACTTTTTGAGCAAAAGGTAGATGGACGAAATTTTTTCTATCTCACTTTACGATCTTTGAGACGTAGTCATATATTTGATACAATATTATTTTTCCCTTGTATCACTTAAAATTACCTATTTTAAACGGGTACATAAGTACCTGTCCCGCTTATAAGTGACAATCCTCGCAACGGGTACAAATACCCGCCCCGCTTATAAGTGACAATCGTCGCAACGGGTACAAATACCTGCCCCGCTCATAGTGTGTTAATAGACAACCGAAAATCTATGCGCCATACGACCGAAATCAAACCTCAAAGCACCATGATATGCAATGAGTTTCGTTTTCTATTCGACCTTCACACCAAATTTCTTTGGTATAGATGTCCAACCTTAGGGGTTCTACCTAATGGCAAAACGCCTGATAGTGAATCTTAGTTCACTACTATATCTACCCTACATACACAGCATTTACAATTTATTTTATGCAGTATAAATATCTTTTTAGAATATTGTGTTTATGAAAATTTGATTTGTGAAATTCCATCACTTTTTTTACTATTTGTGTAATTCTATTATTTTTTATATAATATCATTCATAATATACAAAATTTATTTAAAATACTTTATATTTAATTTCGGGCACAAGTAGTGTCGTCTGACAGCAACATTTCAGGCACGATTATTCCAAATAATCGTAGTCATCAAATTACCAAACCTGCATTATATTATAATTATATTAGATTGTAAAACCTTATTTTATTTTAAATTCTCCTAAATAAATAATTGAATTACTACATCACATTGTCTTTGCCTTCCAAAAATAAAAATTATATTGCAATGGCTAACGGCTAAGTATACCTCAGCGTTACCAACGAACGAAAACGTGTTGTTCCAATTGGCGCCCGAGCAAAGACCGAGTTGGTCAATCACGGAAGTCAAGAACAGAATGAAAGGGAAAATTTAAGAACTAGATGAGAGAGAATATTAACGAATATTGCAGAGGAACAATGTCATTGGGATGAAGAGAAATATCAGAGAATGACATACGTTCTATAAATCCTCCAGTGTATTCATACCTTCAAATAGTGGAACAGGTGCAGAAATGATACTGCAAATATGACGGTTGCAAGGATCCATTGGGTTTCATCGAACCGTGGAAGTACTAGCGGACATGCACAGTATTGATGTAAACTTAATTCCCCGCACAATGCTCTTGCTCCTCGAAAATAAGGCGCTGTCATGGTATCGCAACAACAATTGCCGTTGGCAGCTCTGGACAAGTTTCCAGGTTGATTTTTTAAAGTACTTTATATCCTCCCGATGCATTGATAAACTAGAAAACGAGGTACGATTACGTCTTCAAAAACCAAAAGAAAGTTTTAGAGATTATTTAATTGACTTCAAAACTCTAATGCGACGAGCCTGTATTATTCAAAAGTCGCAACTAGAACGTATATATCGAATTATAAATCAAAGCAGATCAAAGCCATGGACAAGAAACGAGTATCAGGCAGTTGGTAGTTGAATTCGAGCAAGCAATTGAATCTCTATATTCTCATCTCTACAGAATTGTTAAATATTAATATTGTTATAAATTCGTTATCACAAACTATCTTTCTCATTTTGCCATTAATTGAATTATATAATCTAATTTTTTCGACTAAAGTTAGACTGTTTCTATTGTAATATCCCTTATTATTTGTTTTATAATTAAAATAAGTATTTGTTATTATCATATATATTTAATATTTTATTTAAGTCATAATCAAACGTTGTTGCTCATATATTTCATACAATTGTGAAATGATACATACATATTTATGCTTAGAGTGCGATAAGTTATGGAATGCAATCATTACTTTTGTGTTTATGTTTGCTTTTCATTATACTGTACTGTGTATGTGAGGGGGACGTAACTCATGATGAATGGCTGTTTCGAATTTATATAAGTATCTATAAGAATTATATTATTAAAATCGGATGGTGTTTCCGTAAATTGATATTTTTTCATAATATGGTTTCTATCGTATTTTCCTTCCATACAGATCTCACAATTATTTATAATTTTTTGTATTGAAATTCTAAGATTTGGACTATAGATTTTATTTTTTACATCTTCTTATGTAGCTATTATTCCAGAATGTCCACTCATATTTATGAAACAAGGCTAATTGTTTATTTAGTTCGTTAATGTTCTCAATATCCAATACTTCTCATACGTTTTATAAATTTTATCTGGTTATGCTCAGAAAACTCATTGACTAAGATTTTTTGAATCTTATTATACTCATGGTCATTTATTTCGGAATATATACCGATTTTCCCTTTAGAAATTTCTCGTCTTACAATATTGACGACGTTATCATTTACAATGTCATTGTTATACTCTTTTATTATTAAATATAGACTCTGTTTCGATATCTTTAGTTTCTTTATTATTATCTGAGTTTTAAAATGATTTATCACTGTATCCAGTATTGGTATAATACTGGATCCTTCGTTATCATTAGATGTTAAGTTAATGATTTTTTTTATTAGATTACTTAAATTGCCTATGTTGATTCCATTATTTTCTGAATCAATCCTACTTAAAAAATCTGCTATATAATTGCATTTCCCTTTTATATACTCTACTTTAAAATTATATTCTCCCAAGTCAATTAAATATCTTTGTAATTAGGGGCTAATATCTCTACCCGAATATTTTGCCTTAGCCATATAATGGTTGATGATCACTTTCCAAATCGAACTCTCTACCATAAATATATGGTCTAAAATATTTAACACCCTAAACTATCGCTAACAATTCTTTTTCAATGGTTGCGTAGTTTGTTTCATGTTTGTTAAACGTTCTTGATGCATATGTTACCGTATGATTTTTCTGAAACCGCTCTGTTGTGTCCGCCTGTTGTTAAAATTCGCGTCCTCAGAAGCCACTCATGGCACGGTGGCTAGCCCGGTATGCTCGCCGGTGTTGGGGTGGGGTTCTTGGCAACTGAGGCTACGCTGCAGACGACAACATAAAAAAAAATAATTTGTGCCATGTTTTATTCTAACAAAAAAATTACCTATAATTTCTTACTATTTCTTAATAACTATTTACCTCAATAATTATTTACCTCCATAACTATTTACCTCCATAACTATTTACCTCCATAACTAATTCAATATCTATACTCATGAAACTATTACCTATTTAATTTAATTCATATTTCATTGATTGTCTGAACTTCAACATTTCACAAAAAAAAAAATTAAATAAAATAAAAAAATGAACAAAATCAACTATTCCCTATTTGTTTTCTATGAATTTAAAAAAACGCTCATCATATAAGATGCGGAGAGTTCTTTTCCCAATTCTTACAATTACTGCCGCAGCCATGGCAGATTCTGTGCAGATTCTGCCATGGTGCACCTTCCACTCCCCAGTCTACGTCCTTGGCAGCGCCAGCCTGGACAGCTATGTTTTCCTCTAACTTTCTTCTAATTGTTATTATAGTATTTCATTTTTTTTTTATCACCTTGATTTTTACGATAAAGTCAAAAAAATATATATGTATAAAAAAAAAACAAAAAACCTAAGCCAACGAAGCAAAAAAAAAAAATTCTTAACAAAAGAATGAAGTAATTTGAATTCAGTTGACGCGTAGCTCTGCCTTAGGAGGACAATGTGATCCCAAGACTAATACTACCCCTTTATTTAAGACCCTTAAAGCTTCATAATGATTTCAGTGATACTTAGAAATTTAACTGCAAATTGAGTAAATACGGAAGAATTGCTCAACGCCTTCATAAAACAACACCAAGAAAAAAATAAATAAATTTTTATGTTAGGTTAACATTTTTTTTTTATTATTATTTTAATTATTGATAATAGTTATAATCATTAACAGAGACATAAAAATAAAAAACAAAAAAAGTAAATAATTCCAATATTTTTTTTTTTTCTATAAATACATAATTCAATACTATAAAAAAAACTTATAATAAATAAAAAAAAGAAATAAAAAAAGAAAATTACAATGTAAATATATATAAGTGTAGTAAATAATACACCGTTTCTACGACGCACACGAACACTGCATTTCCAAACGACCGCCGCGTATAACAACTCAACTTCAACTGAACTCACTACTTTCTGGCATCTTTATTCTGAAACAGAGTTGCCAACTATACATAAGTATATAAATATTTCAACAATATCTTTATTCTATATTTGATATATATTTTCTTTTTTTTTTCCTCTTCTTTTCTTTTATTTATTGAATCACTTAAAAAGTCTAACAATAATTATTTAAATCTTACATACTAAAAATATACATTCAAAGTTTATGTCACTACCTAAACTTTCCTTGTTTAAAACGTAAGATTCTTAACTTTTGATTTTTAATAATAATTGAACTTGATGTGATAATACATTTAGGATCCAGTAAAGGTATGCCGGTAAATCATTACCATTATTTATTTATTAATCTGCACCATTATTTTAGTATCATATTTTTGCGGTAGGAAGGCTAGCTCGTCTTTGACTAGAGGTACATGAAGATACATATGTATGTTTTAATTTCTGAGG